TCAGTCTCCACTTCAAAGGCCAAGTACCTTTTGCTTCCAACTCCCTAAATTTTCTCCTAGCAAATTCCTCCCATCCAATAAAATATAAGCCCGGAGTTCCTCCATTATGCTTTACTTCCAAGATTTGGCTTTACCTTTTTGTGGCTTTATAACAGAAGCTAGGTTACTCCCAAGGATCTCTGTGGTTATTTTCTTCACAACCGGGAAAAATTGAGCATATTTTATTCATCAAAAAAAAATGAGCATATTTTTAGCAACAAGAGCTCTTCCTTGGAGGCTATCATTAGCAAGAAAGAACCTTGGTAGCTTATTCCCAAGGATCTCCTTGTGCTCTTTTTTTTATTCAGTTTTCTTTTTTTTTTTTGAACAAGGTATCAAAAAGTGATTATGGACAATGAGGTTTTAGCTTCTAAGGTGAGAAGAACATATTTTTTACAAATCACAAGAGCTCTTCCTTGGAGGATATAATTAGCAAGACAGAGAGGACCTTGCTACATTGGCCTCTATGATTTCAAGCGCCTTTGAAAGAATTAATTTCAATAACTTCAATCAACAAGGAGAAGAAATGTTTTTCTCTAGCTTTACAATCTAAGTGCCATTTGTTTTGTTTTTTTTTTTTTTTTTTTTTTAGATAAAAATACCACATTACTCACCAAAAGATAAAATGTTAATAACATCCGGTAGCCGGATAGGCCGGTGATCACACCAAATAATTTACGGAAAAATACGAGCAGGCCCATTGCAAATTTCTGAATTCTGCTGCAGATCTATAACCATTCAAAATGTCATATACCTCCACTCTATACACTAATGCCCGCCATGAATTGGCATCAATTCCGAGCACCTACCCAACTGTACTTTGGGTCTAAAACTTCTGACCGTGGGCTGAACTGTCATTCTCCCAACAATTTATCATGTTTGCAAACTGTGCAGGGGCGTTCAGACGTCAGTTAATATATATACAAACTGCAAAATTTGAAATTTAACCTTTAGGGCCTGGNTATTTTTTTATTTTTTTGATAGATAAAAATTCAATTGATTTCATTAGAAGCAAATGATAAATAGTCCATTACAAGCATCCCAATATGAGGCGTGAGGTGCAGCCTCACTAATTAATACAAAAATATCATAAAGTTACAAGTGGGCCCAGTACAACTGATCCCTATTTACTCCTTGTTTAGCTAGAATAAGCAAAAGCATTTGCCTCCCTCCCCACCCATTGTATAGTTACATCCATCTGCTGAGTTATCCATTTGAATTTCTTCATTTCATTTCTGTAAGCCCAAATTACTGAATCTGGGATTTTAGCCAACCCACCACCACCTTGGAATCCCCTTCTATCACCAAATTTTCCAATCCTAACTCTCTTGCAATATGTACGCCTTATAGGGCTGCGTACAATTCTGCCTTTAAGGAGTCTCCATTCCCCACTCATCCTGAGAAAAGTGCTCTTAAATTTCCTTCCTTGTCTCTGATGACCCCTCCTATTCCAGCTGGGCCTGGGTTGCCTTGACTACTCCCATCGAAGTTTAGTTTCAGAAATCCTTCAATGGGAGGAGTCCAAGCCAACCTTGCCTTAACCTTCTACACTGAGCTAGAAGCCACTAAAGGCCAATTCCTCCAAATATCATCAAATGTGAAATTTTTTAATAGTTGCAACGTTTGTAGCCAGTGTATAACCCTGCTCATTACACACTCCATAATTTGTCGTTTGCCCCTTTCTTTCTCTTGGAAGATTCTGGCATTTCTCTCTTCCCACAAGGTCCACACCACTGCTGCTCTAGTGTACCTCCACATTACTCTTCCCCTCTTCTTCTGTAAAGCAAAGGTAGATGGGTCAAACAACATTTTTATCTCCATTGGAATATTCCACCTACACCCAAACAAAGAGAAAAACCAATCCTATATATCTGTAGCAAATGAACAGGAAATTAGTAAATGGTAACAAGATTCACCATCAGATTTGCATAGAGTGAACTAATTCGGGGAAATACACAGAAAAGGCCCCTTCTTTTGCAAATAGTCCAGAGTGTTAATTTTCCCAAGAGCCACTTCCCAATAGAAGGCCTGAATTTTAAGGGGAATCAGCAGGAACCACACTTCTTTACAAGGAAAGGACAGAGAGGAAAGGGACTAACAAAGAGCTTTAAAAAAGGAGGCACAAGAAAAAGAACCTTTAGAGCTTGGGAAACAAATTCTTCTATCTGGACAAGAAAGCTCTAAAGAAACACTATCAGGAAGAAGGAGAAGCTTTGACTGACAAGTTGCTTCCTCATCCCTCAAACCCCTTCGAAATCCGAGATCCCAATTAAGACTCAAGGGCAAAGAAGGAAGAACCAAAAAAATTGAAATGACCTTATTTTTATACAAAGAAATAGAATACAAAGAAGGAAACACCTCCTTTAAAGGTCAGTCACCAAGCCAAGTGTCTTCCCAAAACCGAATTAAACTCCCTGAGCCAACATCATACCTGATGTACCTGAGAAACTGAGGGAGGAGGCTATGAATTGCTTTCCAAGGTGCTGCCAAGGTAACCCTACGCGATACACCAGCGTCCCAGCCATTCTCCAATCTGCCATGTATACTTGCCACTACTTCAACCCACAAATTTTCTCTCTCAAGAGGCCATCTCCATAACCATTTCCCTAACAGAGCTATATTCTTCTTCCTTACATTCCCTAGACCTAAACCACCTTCTTCCTTTCTTTTACACATAACCTCCCATTATATTAAGTGGTCCTTTCTAGTCTCTCCCGGCTACCAAAGAAAATCCCTCATAAATTTTTCTAATTTCTTTTCTTCTCTTGGTGGAATCCTAAAATTAGAGAGGAAGTAGATGGGTAGGTTAGCCAGAGTTGATTTTATCAGAGTGATCCTACCTCCCAAAGAGATGTAACTTCTCTTCCAAGCAGCCAATCTCTTTTTACATCTTTCTATAATTGGGTTCCAAAACCTACTTTCCTTCGGGTTTGCACCTAGGGGAAGCCCTATGTAGTCAAAGGCCACGGGGTGATATGACATTCTAAGCAATCTGCTATCCTATGTAGGACCATCCCCTCCATATTAATCCCTGTTATGCAACTCTTGTCCAAATTGATTTTCATATTTGACACTTTTTCAAACTTCTTGATTAGATTTTTCAATCTCCTGACTTTCCTGATGTCTCCTCCTTCACAAAAAATAATGATATCATCTACAAATTGGAGATGAGTAATTGGAACATTGTCTCTACCCACTCTCCAACCCCAAAAGTCATCTTCTTTGTCTGCCTTAGCGAGGAGTCTACTGAAGACATCTGCCACTAAAGTAAAAAGGAAGGGTGATAGGGGATCACCTTGCCTTAACCCTCTACAAGCTGGGAAAAAGTCTTTTACCACTCCATTAACAAGGATAGAAAAATGACAAGATCGTATACACCCAAGCATCCAATTGCACCATCTCTCCCCAAACCCCCGTTGATGCAAAACTTCTTTCAAAAAACCCCAGTCCACCATATCATAGGCCTTTTCTAAGTCCAATTTGCACACAAAACCCCAATCTAAGTGCCATATGTTAATAATTAATATCTTTTCAAATTTGATTGAACATATAAAATACAAGTACTTTTCATAGTATTATGAATTAAGATACACCATGTAGATATTTTATGTGTACTAGTAAGTGTGCACGTGCTTTGCACATGATGATGATAATGATAGGAATAATGCATCCAAAATGATCTATAAAATTCATGTATTTTTTATTTTTTATATTTTTGTTTTTCACTATTAATCGGATGCATATTGCAAAATCTGAATCTGATTACATAAGCACCTCATATTGAGCTGCAAAGTTTGAGGTATCATTGATAGGCCTACCTACTTGGCTAAACTCTTATTTTTGTAATGTTCTATCTTATTATATATTTTTTGTTCATTTATCAAAAAAATGTAAGATTTAAAGAGAGAATTGAATGACATGAAAATTGTGGTTCAAACTACACTATAAACCTCACAATTAAATAGGATTAAATGCAAAAAATGGGTATTTTAGTCAAAAGAAAGTTCCACAATATTATTCATATTTTTAATAGTGTAAATATGGAGTTATAGATGTGTTCAAGTTTTTCTATATTTTTTTATTTCTGTGTAAAAAATAATGCTGTACATACACTTAGTTTTTGTTTAATATGAAAAATATATGATATTATACATGTACCCAAATGTTATTTTTTGTAAAATTTATGTATTTTATTTTTGTGCTTTTTATAGTTTATTAATTTTTATTATTTAATTATGACATTAAAGGTTTTACCCAAAAGTTGAACTATTCATCATCAATAAAAATAATTCTTGTTTATTACACTTCTTTTTTTAATTTGATTAATAAAAAATATCATAAATGTGTCTATATTTTTACATTTTTTTGTAATTTTCTATATTTGATTCTATTTAAAAATTTTATTATCTAACTATGACTTCATGGGTTGGCTAATTTAATTCAAATAGTCAAATTGCTTAGTCATCACTTGGATAAAGAATGGTTTTGTTTTTTATTAAGTTTTAAAATATATGGGTTTATATTGTTAAAAGTATTGGTCATAAATCTAATTAGTAGCATTTATTAGTGAAAAATAACTTAAATATGGGATTTAATAAGAGAGGATGGGAGTTAATACCTTAAATACAAGAATTAATGAGAGAGGATTAAATGAGGTGAAAAACATTAATTGAAATTATGTTTTCAACCTTCATAATTAGAAATGTACTAAATAACAAATGTGGGCATTTTAGTCAAGAAAAGTCCCACCTTCATTCGTACTTTTTATAATAGTATATATCAATGGCTCTATGCAGTATCCAGTATCATATTATGTATTTATAATGTACACCAGGCATGGGCATGTGAAGCATATGGCAACTAGAAATCATAGCTTGCGAATCTCATATGCAAAGCATTACTTAGATGGACTCATAATTACATTTAAAAGCAACAGAAATGAAAATACAAAGGAATCAAACCTCTGAAGATGGAGTGTCAAGCAATTCACGGCCCAAAACCAGCTCAAGAGGAAAGCGCACAGGCTTATGCAGCTTGGTGCTTCCTTGGCTTCCATAGGTGAATCGCATTAGGTGCAGTATCATAACCTTCGAAAGTGTTTGTATCTTTACGGACTTGCTAGCACTGACCACCCCAGCCTGAAAGTGTCCATTATTAGAGATCTTTAGTACAATTAATGTTTATTCTCCTATTTGCGTACCCTTGTATAATTTTAGGAGTGAGAAGAGATCCAGAAATTAAACTTCATATTCTCATAAAATGGACAAATGGAAAAGGTTAGAATAAGAAAAGGTGGAATCTTTTTTATAGAATGTGATTGGGCACTGTAGAGAACATTGATGTGGGCCCCACAGCTGTGGTACCACACTGTCCGTAGGGTAGAATGTATCTAGTCACAGCTGTRGTTATTTTKYTGTTYTGTTATTTCTAGTTTCAGTTTTATATTGGTTGTTATTTGTTAGCAGTTATGATGTAAACACCAAGGGCAGATATGTCCTTTCATGTAACCAGCATAACCTATA